AACAAAGAAATTCATTACTATTCTTATTCTTATTCTTATTATTATGCAGGTTAAAAAACAAGACAGGTTACTGCTGTTCGTATAAGACGTGTTCTCTTAGGAAACACAAGAACAATCAAATGAAATTCCAATGAAAGATGCAAGAAAAAAATGAAAGAAAAAATAAATAAGTGACTGCAGGAGTCCAAGAATCCCAGAAAATGGGCCTGACTGCTGAGCTTATCCTTTGGAAGAGACAGATATCTAATAATTTGGAAGACAGAGTCTACTCAAAAATAACAGTCCATTCCAAACTCCTATACTTGGAAATTATATTCTGTTCAATTAAATACAAATTTAAAATTTAACAAAGGAACATTATAACTTGCAAGACAGTCAAAACTTGATACAAATGTTATTGATTCAACATTAGGTGATAATTTCCTTCCCTCATTAGACAAGTCCCAAACTCTAGGAATCACAAAATATTCTTGGACTCCAGCTCCCAACATTCGTTACACATACGACCCGCAGTATCTACCTGCACTTGCCAGACTGTTACCAAAATTGAACGGAGTCGCCGAGGTAGAAGGAACACCGAAATTCCCAATATTAAAGTTCACTGCAGGATTAGCAGTTAATCCGAAACCCCCAAAATTAAACCCACTGGCGGTGGAGTTGGCAGTCTCAAGCCCACCAAATCCTGATAGGCGTGTAGGCAAAGAAACAAACGAAATTTAAAATGGAAAAGGGAGAAGAAGAAAAAGAAAAAGCAAGATAGTATTATTAGAAGAGTGCTGAAGTTTTATAGAAGTGAACAAAAGACAAACCTTGACTTTGCTCCAAACAAGTTAAGAAAGCGGTGGGGACAGGAGGAAGGAGTAGGAGCGTGAAGTCCCCTAGCGGGGGCCAAAGGGGCCGGGGCGAAGGCTCCCGCCCCCCGGGGGCCGGGCCCGAGGGAGCCGCAGGGCAGCGCCCCAGCCCCCAGCCCTACCCTCTCCGGGCCCAGCAGCAGGGGCCCTGCGAGCGTCCCCGCCGGGACTGGAGGCTGCGGTGAGGAGGGGAGGGGAGGGGAGGGCGGGTCTCCCGCAAGGTTAGAGAGGAGCCGCCTCCGAGTCCAACTTCGCGATGGCGGGAAGCGAACCCTAGGAGGGCAGGGTCCAGCGGGGACCCATGCTCAGCATGCGAGCCCCGGGTTGGATGTCGAGTCCCCCCGCGGCCTCCTCAGGAGCCGCCCCGGCCAGCTCTGCCGCCGCCCGCCCTTTTCCGAAGCCCTAAAGTCTCCGCCCCGGCAGGAAACCCCAGGAGCCCCAGCCGGGGAGTCTCGGAGCGAGGCGGGCCAGAGGCCTCCCCTCCACCCCAAGAGAAGGTCCGGGGAACCACTCACCCGCGGGGGCTGCGGGGGCTGCAGTGGTGCCCGACGTGCCCGAAGGAGCCCCAAAGTTGAAGGCCATGTCGCGGGAGCAAGGGACCAAGAAGCGGCTCCCGCGACACAGGGTGCACTTCGCTTTTTGATCCGGCGGGGAAATTTTCTCCGGCTCGCGGAGTTCCGCCTCTTTTCTGGCCTAGCCTATGGGGCTGGAACGCTGGGAAGGCGTGGGGGGTGAGGACGGAGAGGGAACACCCCGGATCCGGCTAGTTTCCGGGGCATCGTGGCTTCCTGCGGCGTCTAGCGTCACATCCGAGGTGAAATGCTGGAAATCTAGCAGAGACGTGTCGCTTGAGAGCCCTTAAGAACTAATTTAGGCTGGTCCGTTGGAATAGATGTGCAGATACGTGTATGTCATGAAGACAGGGTAGGAAAGAACCAAATCCTTATTCTCCACAGTGGGGACCCTGTGGGTAATGTTACAACGGAAAGTTCAGGAAGCCGTGTGTCATGTAGGGTCATGGGAGTAAATTTTTTAAAAAGTTGGGGGCCAAAAGTGGCGCCTCAGAAAAGGATGCCTCTCTCTAGCTTATTTTTATAAAACAAACCTTTCAGAATTATTTGATTCATAAGTCTATGTTCTTGTATAACTTTAATAAAAAGTAACAAAAAAGCCATTGTATTTACCAACATTACAAATGTCCTTAGACCTAAGAACGGTATCTTGTAAATAATTTGGCAAGACTATGGAACACAAGATCTTTCCTTACAGCATTGTTTATAAAAACAAATTACTGGAAACAAATGAGTTTGCTTCAGTAAATTTATACAAAGGAATACTATTCAGACATGAAATGGTAACTGTAAATTACAAGGAAAAAAATGTATAACACTATATGACATGCTACAATTTAGGTGAAAGGAGGAGGGCTAAAATATATAATACACATACTTTCATAAAATATTCCAGAAAGATAAGTTTTTAAAAATTTATAACATCATTGACCTCTGGGAAGATTAATCGAGTGGCTAGGAGATAGTTGGAGGAAGACTTTTTATTTTAAATCTCTTTAATTGCCTTTTGAAAATGTAAATTGATTCCCTATTCAAAAAATTAAATAATGCTCACAGTGATCATTGCAGGAGTCCCAGTGAGAGCTTGGGTTAGGACAGCAGGAGCAGAGACTGGGAAGCATGGGAAGCACTTGATGATGGGATATGGAGGGAAGGCTGAGGTGTAGCAAGAATGCCTGGTTTGTAGCTTGTACAGCTGGGTAAATTGTGATGCCATTACCCAGTAATGGGAATTTGGGAAGAAGATAAGAACAAAATGAGTTCCTTTCTTTACTCGCTGGATTTGAGGACAACCTGGCTGAGGATATCCATCAGGTGGTTTGGATATGTGAGGCTGAGGGTGAACAGAGCAAGGCAATAGGACTGTCAGGGAGGGAGTATCAAGTGAAAAGAGGTTGCAGCTGTGCACTGGTATTAACAAGTAGTGGCCAGAGAGTTAGAAGAATCAGAGTGCAACCACAGAAATGGCCTTGAAGTAGGCCTGAATAAGGGTTAGTGCAGGTAGATTTGGGAGGAAGCAGCAGTGAGGGCAAGGAGTGTGAGACAGGGTATGCAGAAATGATCACAGGAAGCAGTTCCACCAAGGGCAATCCTAGTTGAGGAACCCTGTAGAGTGAGCCTGAGGCCTGTTCCTCTGAGGACTGGAACATTCATCAGCTTACTCCTGCCCAATTTAGTTGAGCGTGTACCTGGGGGTATTAATTCCCCATGCTCCTGGGGGGCTCTCAGCACTCTGGAGAAAGCCCTGAGGCAGAAAAGTACACCATGGGACCTGCTTGGAGTGGGACTTGTCTGGCTCCCTATAACTATCCACCACAGTTGAGCTGATATCAGAGGTGGCCCAAGGGGTGTGACTTAGGCCTGTGTTGGACAAGAGAGCAAAGAACATCTTTCAAATAAAACTCCATAGACAACTGGACATCTGATGACATAACATACAATTTCCAATGCAGTTTCATATAAATGGGTTTTTTATTAGTGAAATACTTCATTTCAGTAAGGGTAGAAATAAACATGTCAATCACATGAAATGAACAAACTATACAAGCTACAAGAAGAGCATTCGGGTCAGTATTCTCTAATAGCCACAAGCAATGAACTCCAGTAATAATGCCCAGAGGGCCAAGCGTGAAGGTCACCTTTTGTGAAACTCACATCTCAAGCAATGTAAATAAAAAATTATCCTCTCAAGTAAAAACCACGACAGGGGTTAGTTGTATGGTACTTGTTCCACTTGACCATTAGTAATCTTTCTATAAGTGAGGAAATAAAGCCTAGAGGGAAAAGCATGGAGCTAAAAGTAGCCAAGCATACTTCCTGTCCTGTGTTCTAGTTCCAATTTCCCCTCTGTCAGTTTGGTTTCTCCCTAAGGTGAGTATCATAGTACAGGACACTGGTGTTCTGTGATTGTGACAATCACAAAGATTTCGGGGCCTTTCCAGGAAAGTGGCTCCAAGAGTGAGTATGAAGAATAGTTTGTTATTTTCATTCTAAAACCAAATAGGTAGTACATTCATGCTTCCTAACCAAGCTATAATCTTGACTGCAGTTTATTTATGAGTTTGCCATAGACTTCTCAGAAGAAAAATATCAAATGTGATTTTAAGCCAAGTAACTATTAAGAATCATGTGGGAATAATATGGTTTCTGTCTCCCTGTCTGTGTGGGATTCAGTCTAACGGTGTGTGTTTGTGTGTGTGTGTATATATATGTATATATACATATATATATATGAATGTTATCATTCATAGTAGTTACAAATTTAAAAAATTTCCTCCTCACAGATGGTTATATCCTGAAAATAGGATGAACTAGTGAGTATTCACTGGCTTATCAGTTTTATTAGTGTGGATACATGGATACATAAAAGAATAAGATATGCCAGTTATCTAGTTAAATGTTAATTTAAAAATCTAGATATTTGGCATTAGTGAAGACAAAATATCTTTAATTTAGTTTTACACATTTCATTGATTTGGGGTAACCGTAGGTTCTATCTTCATTTAAAGAAATGTTGAGAGCTAATGAATTGCCCTTTCAAGAAGGGAAACTTATTACATATTGCTTTAGTGTAGAGAAAGGGGAAATTGGGAAAAATAAACAAAAACAATTAATTACCCCATATAGGGATCAGAAACTATATTTGTGAAATCCATGGCTTTTTTCCCTTCATTTGCTTACACTGAAATCCATTTATAAACAAAACCAAAAAAATACTGTAGAGTTATTCAGTTGTTAAGAAATTTTGTATGTGTTTTGCCAGACAACTATAAGTTTCTCAATAAAAAATGAATATTGAATTTTGAGAATAAAAAAAATTGCCCCTGCCTGGCTGGTGTGGCTCAGTGGTTGAACATCGACCCATGCACTGAGAGGTCACAGGTTCGATTCTCAGTCAGAGTACATGCCTAAATTGTGCGCCAAATCCCCAGTGTGGGGCATGCTGGAGGTGGCCAGTCGATGTTCTCCCTCATAGATGTTTCTGTCTCTCTCTCCCTCTCCCTGCCTCTCTCTCTGAAAATCAATAAAGGGAAAAAAAATTTATTGGAGGATTGAGTCAAAGTAGATAAAATTTCTTTAAAAAAAAAAAAAAAAAGCCCTTAAATATGCTTGGTTCTCAGACCTCTGACTTGGGTTACACCAGAAACCAAGAGACCTTCTGAAGAGAGGTGACTCTGCTTCTGGTCCCAAGGGAACTTTAAAGCACTTTCTGTGCAATATTTTAAAACACTCATTCTGCCAGCAAGATGATTGTCACAGGAAGTGTAGGGCACATTTTTCTCTCTTCAGTGAGTGACAGTGAGCCACAAAACATCAAAAGGAACCAAATCTGAGGAAAGAACAACTTATAAAAACAATTTTAAAGTTACCAAAAAGACTGTCCTGGAAGAAATGTCTCTTTAGTGTAATCAGACTTACTGAAATTTATGTGCAACTTAGGCTGCGGATGCATGGATTTCTTTTACTCATAAATAATTTTACAAATAATCAATAGTATTGTAATTAATACAGTATCATATTTGGCAAGGGTGATGGGGAGGGGAATCAGTTATTGATTACATTCTCCCAGGAGCACCTTTCCACAGCAAGATAATTTCAGCTGAAAAAACAACAAGCTATCCACAAATCTCAGAACTAGCATTTAGTTCTACTCCATGAAATCTGCACTGTCCTCAGCAACATTATCTATGCATTCTTTTGATTCATAAAAGTGCAAGAAAAAAAAATCCTCAGGTGTTTATCATTATGGACTCATTAGGAGTCTCATTCTACCCAACCCCTTCCCTACTTGATTCCTATCAGGTATGAAAGTAGTCAAAAGACCAAATTATTTTCCTGGAGGAATTATGAACTAACAATTAGCATAAAATGCAACAAAAAACTTTTAAAAAAGAAATTAGATTCATTTGAATGACGTACTCAATGAGGCTACCATTACCCTGGGTTCTGAACTCTTATTTACTTCTGGTTTTGGGGTGACATGAATGGAGGAATACAACAAAAACAAAAAAATGGTATGTATTTCTGTACTTGGAGTACAAAGTTTGGTGAATGAAGCACACCGAATAAGGTTAGGCCAATAGCGTTAAGTGATTCAGACGTTATAACCACAACAGTGGTCACAAAATTCTGGAGCTACCAGCACCCAACAACAATAAAATTACTATACAAGAGTTTATTAAATACTTGCTAGACCCGTGAAAAACAAAACGCGTTGTCAGGGACCACAGGATGTGATAAAGCCTGATGGCTAACAAATCAGCCTGTTCTTTGAGCTCTGGCCCTGCCGCTTTCATCACTTGCCAGCTCCGGCTCTTCTCCCTCCTCTCACACCAGGCAGTGAGCTGCGAGGACGCTGCTGGTTTCCCCACGTCTGATTCAGGTCAGGAGAGCCCTCCACGGTTTTCACCACACTCAGGCCACGGTTAGGTAGGTTAGGTTCGCATGAGGGGTGCTCTTTCATCTGCAGTTCCCTGTGACTCCGAAGAGAGAGGACAGCAAAGTTAGGCGTTCGTGTCAGAAACTTTTCTCCACGTGAAAAGTAGGGGGAGGGGCGATGGAGGAAAGGGGGAGGAGAGACTGATAGGAAGGCAGTTGTGGCACTCATCTCTCTTCTCTGGGCCTGCTGCTGCTTCCTCTTCCTTTAACATTCAGCCCTAACCCTCTAGAGGAGGCCTGCTCTGACCATGTCACCCAGGTCCCAGAGCAGCCCCCTCCCGTATATGGATCTGAACTGTAACCTCAGCACATTTGGTTGAACTTGCCTCCGTCCTGTTTTGAAACCTGCCAGGGAACAATGTCAGGGAGGTGGTGATGAGTGCTCCAGCACTGCTTGCTTGTTGAATGCGTGGAGACGGTTAATTGTAGGGGCAGTGATAACATTTACGTGGGCTTTCATCTGTGCTTATGAAAATCTCAGTGACTGTACAATGTCAGACTGGAAGTGAGATCCACAGATAGAAATGGCAAAATGCAGGGGTGTAAAGTACAGCATGGGGAATATAGTCAATAATATTGTGGTGACTATGTATGGGGCCAGGTGGGTACTGGAACAACTGGGGGGACACTTTGTAAAGTATGATTGGCTAACCACTATGCTGTACCCCTGAAACTAATACACAATAATATAGAATGTGAACTATAACTGAAAAATAAATTTTAAAATAAACCTAAAAAATAAGAAACATAATGAAGGAACATGGAAGATGGGAAATCTGGGCTAATGTTATTCAGATGTTTTCTACCTATTTCATTTCCTATTTCATGTGGGCCTCAGACAATTAATTGAGGCAGAAAAAATTAACAATCTTTGTTGCAACAAGGGAAGCTGCTGAGAATTTAAGAAAGGCTCCTATAGAAAATGGTCAGTGAAGGTATTAAGACACCTGGGTTGGCCCGCTAGTCACTTAGGTCTGTTTATCCCATCAATTTGGGGTTGTTCCCATCCCTCCAGGAAAGGAACGGCAACCCCTGTGCTAATCATTTATGATGCAATAATGACTCTGTGGTAGGTATATTTGATAATATACTACAGATTCTTTCCAAGCAGGTCCTGGTTGCCTTGCTCTATAATCTTGGAGCTGATTTTATTGTACAACTACTATTTACCGAGCTCCTACTAAATGCTAACATTGAGCCAAGTACTTTATGTTTACGACATCACCTAATCCTCACAAATAGCTACTAAGGGAGGCTCAAGTAGTATTCCATTTTACAGATGAAGAAACTGAGACACAGTTTTTAGGGTCACAGTCTAGATATTAAATCACAGTTTTTAGATATTAAGTGACGATCCTGGGATTTGAACCTAGGCAGTCTGACACAAATGCCAGGTGCTTAGATGTTATATAGTCTTCCTTTTCTTTCAGATTATTTTCAAAGATGGAAAGCTTACTCCCAGGGATTCCATTCCCACCACAAGAGCTCCAAACACTGGACAGTGCCATCCTATCTCCCCTCCTTGCTTCTCATTCTGCCCAGCAGTAATGTAAGCATGAAATCACCGTGTCCAGCATAAAACCTCAGAATACACCCTAAAGAGCCAGCTGACTGCCCTTCAGCGAAGCCCAGTTGAATTCTCAGGTATAGTTATCCAATAAGAAGTTCCTCCATGCTCACCTCATCCATGGATCCCTGTCCTCGGCACACAAGCCAGGTGAAGATCAAACCGAAGAACACACCCAGTGCCATGACAATGTAGGGTATGTTGGTCACAATCATCATAGTGTTAATCACAGACTTCAGTCGACTTGCAGTCTCTTTGTCAATGAGAACACTCTAGGAGAACGAGAAAATAAATAGTTATTGCCTTGATTACTAAATATCTAGGGTGTAACTTTTTTTTTACTATATCTTTTTTCCAAATCATTAAATGCAATTTGGGTATGTCCTCCTGTTAGCAAACCAGAGATACAGAAAATCCATTTATAAATTAGAGTAACTAGAGGGGGCATTTATTCATTAACATCTTCCCTTTTCTCTTAATTAATTAATTAAATTTTCTCATTTCTTTTTACATTTTCTTTTTTAAAATTTATTTCTTCCCCTTTTCTCTTGAAGACATGTTTTATTCTCAAAATGTGTTAGAAGAAGGAGGAAAAAAAGTATTAAAAAATATTGAGATAATGTTATTTTTTGCTTTGTATCAGATAACTTCAATTCATTTTTTAAAATCTAGCTCAGCATAACTTCCTCCCAGTTTTCTCTGGCCACCTCAGTCCTGGTTAAGGCTCTTTTTCTGCGTTTTCAGCTCACTCTCTAAAATCCTCCAATACTGTCTTTCTACTCTGCATTGAGACTGTCTGTTTAGTTGTTGGCCTCCTTGTGACCGTGAGATCCGAAAGGCCAAAGTTTCATTTCAGTCGCCTTGACAATGGGTATAGCACACAATGGGTGCTCAATTCATGTCGGTAGATGGAATAAATGAATGAATGAAACATTCCAACAATGGTATAGGGAAAGAATAATTTCTCTCTTGATTAGATCTATACTAATAAGGACCAGAGGTCTCAACAGAAAGTGTTCAGAGGACGTCTTGAGGCTAACCAGCATTCCAGAGGGTGTTCTAACTAAGGAATGCTCTAGAATAACACTTTCTGTATGAAGGGCAAAGTTTATCACTTTAAACTGTCATGACTGAGTTATCTGAAAAAGCTTAATTCCATAAAATTCATTTGCAAGAAATGGGACTTTGGGCTAAATTTAGGCTCAGTTTGCACTGGGGCAGAGGCTAGGGAAAAAGGGCTGGCTTTTCCAGGAACTGGCCAACTGTCAGGCTCAGTCTCCTCCTCTGGAAGAAGAGAGCAGGAGAGCAGCCTCCAAGGTCACTTCCAGGTCTCCCTGGATTTAGTCTGGTCTTGAACAACAACAAAAAAATCAAAGCAGAAGTTCAAGTGGAGGGGACTTCAGATACGCTGCAACTATAAACAAAAGCTTACATGGCAGAGCCACTCCTCATTTTCAAAAAGCCCTACTTTCATGTTCTTCCCACAAATAATAACATTGATGACCCAGGAGCAAGTGTAAATAGGTCCTACAAAAATGGCAAATACACTGCCCAGCCAGTGTTGCTCAGTGGTTGAGCATCGACCCATGCACCAAGAGGTTGCCGGTTCGATTTCTGGTCAGGGCACATGCCCAGGTTGTGGGCCAGATCCCCAGTGGGGGGCATGCAGGAGGTGGCCAATCGATGTTTTCTCGCTCATTGATGTTTCTATCTCTCTCTCCCTCTCCTTTCCTCTCTCTCTAAAATCAATAAGGAAAAAAAAAGACAAATATTGCCTGAACTTTTCTTATGAGACAATAAAAGCATTGTCTTAGCATTGTAATCACAAATCCTTCTAGTTTATAAATGTGGCTACCAATATAATGCTAAATTAGAAAAGGATATAAAAGTAGCTACAGTATGGTCTCAATGATGTAATTTCAAAATCAGAATAATGCCGAGGCCACAAGCAGATGTCCAATGCACCTTCTACTCAGGGACAGGCTTAGCAGGGGTTCGCTTTTTAAACATATTTTCTAAAATTTCCAAGAGTTCTATAAAGAGCACATATTAGTTTGACAAAATGTAAACCATTAAGTTATTTTGTACAAAGCTGTTATCAGAAAAAGTTTTACAACACATTGGTAAGTAAAAGAAAGCAAGTTAAAGACAATATGTCAGTCTGACTCAGGTTTTGTGAAAAGCAATTTTAATTTTTTCCTTTTTCTTGCTTTAATCTGTTACCAAATTTTCTACAAAGAACAAGTATTTTTAGGGAAGAGAGAAAAATAATAAACACTTTTAAAATGCTGCTATTTACAACAAAAGCCAGTCAACTGAGATTTACTGAGGGAGAAAACCTTATAATTTTTCCCTCGAAACTGGTTGGAAGAGAGGGAAACTAAGGAGACAGAACTATAGTTAATGTAATGTGTAATTCAGAAAAAAATTATTACCAGCGTCTTAAATAGTGGGTGTTTTCCGAGCCTTCAGAATATGCTTTTATTAACAAAACTTCAATTTACACCTGACATTTAGAGATATTTATTATTATTATTTTAGAGACAGAGTAAGGGAGAAAGAGAGACACATATACAGAGAAAAATCGATTTGTTGTTCCACTTATTCATGCATTCATTTGTTACTTCCCTGACTGAGGATTGAACCCACAACCTTGAGCCATCGGGACAGTCTAACCAACTAAGCTACCCAGCCAGGGCCTAGAGATAATATTTCTGTGGGTACACTTCAAAAGAAATATTTCTTCAGGGAAACTCCTTTTTATGTTTAAACTAAGATAGGCTCTGTTTCCTATAATTCACGATATGTTTATTTACCAGAAAGTAGAAAAAACTCTATGCTATGATGAAGACTGAGGCAACCATGCATCGCTGAAATTAACAGGCATGGATCACATTTTATTTAACCATTTCTTTAACCACTTACACAAAATTTTTATTAATGTTGCCAGTCATTTTAATGTTATTCTCTTTTTCTCCTCCTTAACTAATGAACAGTAAACGGATGACATTTTACAAACTGGCAGGGTTGCAAAGAAGGTTTAATTGGACCTTCTTAATTGGACAAAGATTTAATTGGACATCTATCTGAATGCTGGCTATTTATTGTTTCAACAGTGTCTGACATTGCTTTATAGACCTTTGCAATTTTTTCTTGCACAACCAGTTTCCCAGAAGGTAGTTTTACCCAAATAATATTTTCAAGAAGGGAAATTTCTTTCTGGTATTTTCAAATCTCAGATATAAGTGGCTTCATGTAAACACATACATAAATTTTCTGAGGACAAACAGGTTTTTAACCACCCCCCCATATCTAAAATGACACATAATACAATAGTAGACATCATCATGGAAGGTTTCCAAGCTTCCATAGGTAAAGCACACCTGTGGCTCTCTCCCAGGACTCACCTCATTGACATGCACCACTGGAAAAACCATGGTTCTGATGTTTCCTGTTTCACTGCAAAGACAAAAGATGAGATCATCTTATAGACATCCTCACTGTGAGAGCACACTGGAGAGAGACGTTTATAGGAAGTTCCAGCACACTTATTTCATTAAATTACCCAGAATTTAAAGAGACTTCTTAGTTATCGAAGATACTTTGTTCCAATCTGTCAGTGTAGCAATGCCAAGTGTGGCGCATTTATGTAAAACACAAGATGTTGAACACAAAATGATGCCAATTCTCCCAAGAGTCAGAGATGGGACTACAGCTGGCAGAACAATGCTGCCAGTCCTCAGAATATTTTGTAACTAGGCTACCAGGTATCATCTCCACAAAAGTCCAGAAAAATCACTTACTGAGCATTTACCATGCACCTGCTCTGCACCAGTGTTTTGGGAACATTATCTCATTTAATTCTCATAGTAGTCCCATGCAGTGGGTATTACTGTCCCAGGTTTAAGAGAGGAAATTATGGCTCAGAGTAATTTGTCCAGGACCATCAGAGTAAATGGTAGAGCCAGGATGGTAATTCCATTTTTAGTCTAAAGCACTAGTGACTAGACCTTAACTACTAAATTATCTGGCTCAGAAATACACACATGGGTGACAACTGTATTTGTGCAACCCACATTTGCTTCCTAGAAATATCCATAACTGTGGGATTAAATCTGGCAAATTTGATGGGGGAACTAACAAGTTTTATAGATAGATAAAAAGAATAGATAGATAGATGGTATTATGCATAGTTTTGCATTCTGTTTTTTCCAGTCAATATTAAATCATAAGCATTTTCTCATATCCCAAAAATTCCCATTGAAAAATTTGAGCAGGAGACTATATTTAGGAATCCTAATTAAGTTGTGGTTTTTAGATGGAGTGTGGAAAGGCTAGAAACAAGAGACCATTTTAACTATCCAAGTGGAGCTTGTGGCTGGCCCAGGGTGGGTGTGGTGAGGAAGAAAGGAGACAACCAGAGTTATGGCAAGGGAAATACTTAGTGGAGTGGGCAAGAGCCAACTCTGTAGTCTTGCTAGCTGTGTGAGTTCTAGCAAGCTATTTAATTTCCCTGTGCCTCATTTTCTTCATCTATGAAAAAGGTATAATACAGGGCTATTGTGAGAAATAAATGAGTTCATATATGTAAAGTACTTAGAACAACGCTTGATCCATGGAAAGCACTGTATATGCATTTGGTTAAATAAGTAAATTCCAGACCAAGGGAAACTAAGAAAATGCTGGTCATGCCTCATCCCGAGGGGCAGAGATGAGTGGACTTAGAAGTGGCCTGTATCCCTCCTGACATCAGCCCCACCAGAAAGTCACTGTAGGAAAACTACCCTTTGCCTCTGTAGAAAGAAGCAAAACTTACATAAAGCCATCTCTTTTTTCAACATAAACATTGATTTGGAACCTCTTGGCTGCTCTTAGGATAATTCCAGTCAACTGCAAATCAGAGAAGTAGAAAGAAAACATTACTAAAACCACAAACACAATTTTTTTTAATAGAGCACCATTTCTGTGTGGTTCTGATAAACAGGGTGACCACTGCCATGTTTGACAGGCATAGTGGAACACTGACCCCAGAACAAAATGACCATGTAGATTATTTTTAGGTGCGTGGTAGACCAATGTTTCTCAAACTTTAATATGTGTATGAGTCCTTGTTAAAATGCAGGTTCTGACTCAGTAGGTCTGGGGCCTAAGATTGAGCATTTCTAACAAGCTCCCAGGATGCTGCCACTTTGAAGAGCAAAGCCCTAGAGGACCCTGGCAGAAGGGTGATCCAACAGAGACCCAGTCAGGAGGATGGTTGTCACTGCCACAGAACAGTGCTCAAGTGTGGTTAGGGCCCACCCAAGAGGAACAGCTGCTACTGTCATCTAAGGTTATGGGACTGTGCCTCGCCCTAGCCCTTGGTAATAAACTCCTGCTAACAGTTTAGCTGATGAAAAGGAACTTACTGGTGGCTAAGACAGAAAAGGGGAGAAAAACACACCTGATCTTATTCACAAAAAGATAAGACCACTGATTTCTCAGGTACAAATGCACTGAGTTTAGCTAAGAGTGAAGTCCCCCTAAATTGCTATTCTAAAAGAATGTTTTGCTTTTCTCTTATTGTGCCATGTGTTCAAAAGCCCAAGAATGAAGATATCCGACCTTTAATTCAGTTCCTAAAGTGAGAAGCTGTTGTGACCATAGACAGTCAGGGAGCACCAGGGAGTCTCCCCTGATGGTCCAAATGATGCAGGGGGAGGTTCTTACACAGATTGCTCCAAAAGCTAAAAAGATGAATGGACAAGGCCCACCCTGCCAAAAGCTAGAAAGATAATTGGATAGAAAAAAACAAAAGCCCTCCCCTCCCTATCCCTGTAACAACCATAGGCTTGAATAAAAAGGGGGGATGATCTTTGAGACTGGAGTCCTCCATTCTCCCAGGTCATGGCACATGAATAAATATCTTTCCTTTTGCACCAGCACCTGTCTCACAAATTTGGCTTTTGTTGTAGCAGGCAGCTGAGCCCACAATTTTCGGTTACACTGTCACATTCTGAAATGTGACATCCTTTTAACATGGTTTTTGTTTTTCTCTTCTATGAATATAGGATTAAAGTGTATGTATACCTGATGCATTTTAAGTGAATATATAATAAACTCTCAAAAGTACCTGTAGAAAGAGGTTTGCCAAAGGTGACTAAAGCTAATACATATGTCTAAATGTTAACCAAAACATTTCTGGCAATAAACAGAGGAATGTCTTCAACCTTGCTGATCGTGTCCCCATGGGAGAAATGTATGTATGTTCACGTCTAAGGCTGGTGACAGAAGTTTGACCAGGTTATCTGGGTCCAATCTCAGTTGTTTTCAGTGATGGAACTTTCACTGTTCCTTTTTAGTTAAAGCAGGTCTGCTGGCGTTTCTGCATAATTAGGTCCAGAGAATTCAGTCTTCCAAACAGGGGACTAGGAGACTATGCATTACATTGCACTGAGCTGGTTTTCCTACATTTGATTGTATATGAAAGGAAAACTATAGATTTAAGAGAGCTAAGGACTAAATCACAAACACTGAATAGACAGAATGAAACGTATGGTCTTTCACCAGAAAGAGGTGTGTACTCACAGGATTAATGTCCACAAACGTCTCATGATATTCCTTATTTGGATGCATGCCATCTATGGCAGAAACAAACTTCTCATCTGCTTGGTAGAAGTGTGGGAAAGATAAAATAATAGGTGCACCTGCGTTTTAAGGAAAATAGAAATGATCAATGTGGTTCTGTAAAGTCTAAGATAAATATAAAGTTCCTGACCACGAACCTGGCTCCTGATGGGTGAAAAAGCCATATAAAAGTAATCTTGGGTCAGAGAGGACAGGCTAAAATTTCATTCTATACCTCCTAGTTCAGGATTTATACTTCACTTTCTGACATCTCATTAGTTTAATCCACAATATATACTGAAGTTCCAGCTAAATTATTTAATACATTTTTTTTTTCTTTTTATTGATTTAGAGAGAGAGGACAGGAGAGGGAAAGAGAGATAGAAACACAGATGAGAGAGAACATTGACTGGCCGCCTCCTGCATGTCCCCCACTGGGGATTTGGCCCACAACCTGGACATGTGCCCCAACTGGAAATTGAACCAGTGACCTGTCGGTGCATGGATCAACACTCAATCATTGAGCCACACCAGCTGGGTATGAAGTTCCAGCTAAGTTATTTAGTCTTCAACAAACATGTACTCAACCTATAAAAGTAAGTGCTTTATACACATTATTTTAATTAATGTTCCCAGCAGCCCTATGAAACTAGAACTATTATCTTCATTTTGCATTTGAGGAAAGTGTGGTTCAGAGAAGAGACATAATTTAGCCAGGGACATCCAGCTGTCAGGTGACAGACGCAGAATTTTAATTAAATAAAGGATGTTTTAGCTCAAAGCATTTAAGGGCCTTGTTTCAACTACAATTCTCTGCCAATAAATGGCTTTTTTTTTTTTTTTTTGCTTGCTTCTTTTTCTGTTTTTAATTGATCTAAGATAGATCAATTTGTTCTCCTGCATATATTGATGCAGAACGTTTTAAGACTGTGCCTGGTCCTGATATCTGCCCAACCTCTGACTAGATCAACGCCTGCCCACATGAAGATCCTGTTTTATTTTATTTTTTGTTTTGCCTTTCCTATTAACTTTAAGAAACAAATTATTAAAGAAAACGTATTCTAGATTTTGCTATTGAGGAGGAGAGAGGAATCCAATAATTGTGGCCAGGGAATTTTTTTTTTTTTTTTAAGAAATTAGCCCTGGCCAGTTTGGCTCAGCAGTTAGAGTGTCGGCCTGCGGACCAGAGAGACCTGGGTTCGGTTCCCGCTAAGGGCACGTACCTTGGTTGCAGTTTGTCCCCACCTCGGTTGGGGTCATGTGGGTGGCAACCAGTCTATGTGTCTCTCACATCGATGTTTCTCTCTCTCTCATCCTCCCTCTCTCCCTCCCACTCTATCTGAAGATAAATGCAAAAATGTCCTCGGGTGAGGATAAAAAAAGAAAAAGAAAAAAAAAAAAGAAATTAGCTGATTGGCAAGTAATTTCATTCTTCTTACATATCCACCCATCATATGACTCAGTATACACATCATCTGTCACAAACACAATGTTTGCCCTTTACTCCTAGACAGTCTCACAGAGCCATAATTTCACTCTTTGTGACCTACAGTCACCTTTGAAATGTTGTTTTGTTTTTTTTTTTCTTTTTTTATCCTCACCTGAGGACATTTTTTGTTCAGGTAGAGTGGGAGGGAGAGAGAGGAACAGAGAGAGAGAGAGAAACATCGATGTGAGAAAGGAACACATCGAGTGGCTGCCACCCGCACAACCAACCAGGGCCGGGGACAAACTGCAACCGAGGTACGCGCCATAGCGGGAACCGAACCCGGGTCTCTCAGGACCGCAGGCCGACACTCTTAACCGCTGAGCCAAACCGGCCAGGGCTGAAATGTATTTTTAAAAATCTTTTGAGGGTTTAATAAGGGCCAGACACTACCCTAGGTGTTTTGTATCATTATCTGTAACCTTAACACAAGTTTCCAAGGAGATTATAATCACCCCCATTTTTATGGATGAGAAATCTGGTATCTAGAACCCTCCTTAATCAGCATGGCCAATTTGCTAACAAGCAGAATAGGACTCAAATCCCCATCTCCCTGACTCCAGAACACTCACTCATCCCACTATCCAAAATGTTTCCCTGGGGAATTCAAAACACTTGAGGGCAATCCGGAGAGGTAACATTTCAGTCCACATTTGCTAATACACAAGAAGCAAGAGAAAAAATTGTTGCCAGAGATTTGACTGTTGCATAAGTAGAATCTTCCTGTTGATTCTGCCATCAATTTCTTGAGGTAGCAGACATCCACACTTATGCCTGGAGCCAGAGGCACATGGGCTGAGTGGGCAGGGCACTATTTTAGGACTATTCACCCAGTAAGACAGTAGGAAAGATCAAAAGCAGAAACTTGTTCCCATTCAACCTTGGTGTTATCTCCAGGTGAGGGGTGTCGTGATCCTGGCACAGTGTTCCCCAAATACGTAGGAATCATCTTCATCACCTGGAGCTCATGTTAAAAGTATAGATTCTAGCCTGGCTGGTGTGACTCAGTGGCTGAGCATCAACCCATGCACCAAGAGGTTGCCGGTTTGATTCCTGGTCAGGGCACATGCCCAGGTGGTGGGCTAGATCCCCAGTGGGGGGCATGCAGGAGGTGGCCAATCGATGTTCTCTCTCATCGATGTTTCTCCCCCCTGCCTTCCTCTCTCTCTCTCTAACAAAAAAAAAAAAGTACAGATTCTGGGCCCTAGTGTTTGGGCCCTGGGACAGATATTTTTAATGATGCGCCAGATAATCCTAGTGCAAGGCCAGGTTTGGAAGACATTGCTCCATCAGACAAAGATAGGGAGGATACTGCTGACCTCAGACTTATCCCAAAAGGAGATTTTCAAACCAATTAGACAGGAGGGAAAAAGTAAATTACTTTATTCAGGAGAAAAGGGTTACAGCGTTACTCAAGAGAAACTGTAAAGAGGAATTGTAGCCTAAGAAGAGTCACAGTATGAATATAAGACCTTAGTTCCAACAAGGACTTGCTGAGGGATAAGGATATGATAAAAATCACATTCCCTCTCTAATCCTTGGTTTTCACATTTACAGAAAGAGGCCACTGGATATCTCTCTAGCAAAGGTATTGTAAATAATTATGCAACATAAGATTGTTAAAACTCGTCCTCAGATGAAATTATTTTGTCAGTTGTACCATTGATAATTCTACCTCATTCATGGAAAGGAGTAGAGTAGCCCAGACATTATGAAAAACTGAGAAATTTGCAGTCAGTGTTTAAAATGAACCTTTCTTTGAATCATTGAGACTCTTTACCTAGATCTGTGCTTTCTCATTACAGAGTTCTCCACTTTCTTTTAGCATTGTTTGAACGTGAAATCAGTTAATGCTTCAAATGTATTAACTATATGTAAATATGTAAAGCATTTGAAACAGTGACTGGTACTAGTAAGTACTAACAAACATAAGCTATTATTACTGTTATGACTTCTACACTGCCCACAAAAAACACATGGCATTCTAGCAATAAAAACCATTATAGGAAAGCAAATAATGTTTTGTTTTGTTTTTTTCACTATTCTATAGCCATGTTATGAAACATTGTTCTTGAAAGGTCATATGTTTTTTTGGTTGGGCTGACAATGTTCTCTATTGAAGAATACCAATCCTGCACTCCAGACCCTCGGAATCATGTCATCTCTTACCGTTCTTGCAGATGCTGATATTCAGAACTCCTGAGCCCAGGCAGTTTCCTGTGGGTATACAGAAGCCAGCATTGTCTGAAGTATTGGCTAATATTTCTTCAGGTACCTTAAACCGAAAGGCGGGCAGTCCCTGTACTCTCTCATAGTCACTGAAAGTTATATACAGTGACCTGTTAGGAAGCAAGAACAGAACGTCAGTGTGGGCTCCAGTCAGCACAATCTGGCCTGAGTCAGTTTTATATTCTTACTTGGCAAGATAAAAATGTGAGCATCCCTGCACCCAAATCTGGGGGAGGTTTCAGTAAGTTAGCAACAGTTCTTAGGTACAACACAGCTAAGGGCCTAGAGAGTAAGTGTGAAATGAAGATGCAAAAGAAAGCTGGAAAGAAGCTCCACCCACTCAATGTGTAATAAAGTAGGAGGTAAACTGTAATGAAAGATGCTTAAGAGGTAACAACTGGGATAATTTCCAAAGAAGGCCGAGAAAAAATATATAACCTGTGGTAGAAAATTAAGAAGACGACATTTAGGCCATGGCCTGTGTGGCTCAATTGGTTGAGCATCGTCCAGTGCATAGAAACATCACTGGTTTGATTCCCAGTCAAGGCACATGCCCAGGTTGTGGGTTCAATCCCTGGTTGGGGTGCACATGGGAGGCAACCTACTGATGTTTCTTTTTCACATCAATGTTCTCTCTCTGTCTCTCCCTTCCTCTCTCTAAAATCAACAAAAATATTTAAAAAATGATGACATTTAGGCCCTGGCCGGTTTGTCTCAGCGGTTAGAGCATCAGCCCGCGGACCAAAGAGTCCCAGGTTTGATTTTGGCCAAGGGCACGTACCTCAGTTGCGGTTGGTCCTTGGCCCAGGTTGGGGTCATGTGAGTGGCAACCAATAGATGTGACTCTCTCACATCGATGTTTCTCTCTCTCTCTCTTTCTTCCTCCCTCCCTCCCTCCTACTCTATCTGAAGATAAATGGAAAAATATCCTCGGGTAAGGATTAAAAAAAAGATGACATTTAGAATGGAAACTCGCATTGACAGAAATGCATGGACTGGACCAGCAAGGACATCATGCTTTGACATGCATCTCCCCCAAATAAAAAGATTTTCTGTATTTTGCCCATTGTTGATTTCAGTGGTCAACAAATTTCTGCTTCCAGTTGTTAAAGGAGTTTCAGTGGTCCCTTGAAATACTAATCACCCTCATGTTTGTATAGCACTTGAGTACAGGTATCCCCCGCTTTTCAAAAGTCTGTCAACACAACACTAGCTGTCCGGTGTGAATAAATAAAAATTATACCTATTTTTTATGTGAGATCAGCAAAAAATACATTTTTTGGTGTGCCGCAGAATTTTAGTTATTAGTTTATGTGTGTCATGAGATGAAAAAGGTTGAAAATCGCTGGTCTAAACCATGGCACAGGTAGTAGGGATGGAGAAGGGAGGATGGATGCAAGAGCTATTTTGGAGGAGAAGCCAATAGCACTTGGTGACCGGATTAAATGCAAGAGAGGAGGGATATTTATAGCGTCACCAATGTTTCTTAGCAGGGCTTACTGGGCAGGTGGTGCAATATGAGATATGAAACACCCGAAGAACAGCAGTTCTTGAAAATATTGAATCAACCATGTCAAATGTGACCAGGCCATTTCTGATTTTGAGGAGTTTCAGAAAAAGCCTTCAAAGAGTGAGTGGGAGAGGAAATGGAAGCTGTGCAAGTCAACTACTCATTCGAGCAGTTAAAGGGCGATGGTGGGAAAAGGCACAATGGGAGATTGGAATCGGGGGCTAGAGCAGGATGCCTTCCTTCCACAAAGACATAATCATGTTCATCTGTAGGGAAGGAGCCGGCAGTAAAGAGGGAGATATTACAGGGCAAGTGAGAATAGATATGATCAATGGCAAGGTCATAGCTAAGCAAACACCTATAAACTCTGAATTATGGACGACAGTATGGCTTATTTATTTATCTTCAATGTAGAAATTACCCCTTGACTAGAAAAAAAAAAAAACAGGTCAAATTTCATGCTTGATGGAGCATATGACAGTAACTAACAGCCAACTATTAATTTTATCTACTGTGTGACAAGCCCTGAGATATTTTACTAACAGTAATTAATTTGTCCTCATAACAACTCTCAAGGTAGGTGACTATTTTTATCCTTATTTTACAAATGAGGAAAGTGAAGCACAGAGTAGTTAAATAACTTTCTCAAGTTCACACAGCTGTAATTGGGAGAGCTGGTATTCAAACCCATGCAGTTAGGCCCTGGCCGGTTTGGCTCAGCGGTTAGAGCATCAGCCTGCGGTCCAGAGAGACCCGGGTTCGGTTCCCGCTAAGGGCGCGTACCTTGGTTGCAGTTTGTCCCCAGCCCTGGTTGGTCGTGCGGGTGGCAGCCCCTTGATGTGTCCTCTTCACGTCGATGTTTCTCTCTCTCTCTCTCTCCCTCCCACTCTATCTGAACAAAAAATGGAAAAATGTCCTCGGGTGAGGATTTAAAAAAACAAAACAAACCTATGCAGTTAGGTGAAGTCCATACATTGGCTCTCAATATGCCATCACCATTTATCACTGATTAAACATGAATATCCATGCCTACTAAGTGTAGCTACATATATTCCTCGCACCCTTGGTGGTCTGACAGCCAAAGATATTTTTAAAGTTCTTACCTGCAAAAATCAGATGGAAATACATAAAGGACTTCGTCTTTGGTTATAAGTGGGTGAAAAGTATCACCATCCGTTCCATTAATCATATTGCACTTGTCTGTTGTCCACCAGTCAAGTGACCTGTAATTGATAAGCACAAGAAAGAATCAAGAGGATCAAATTTGATTTTATATATTTTTCACATGGTCAGGACTTTTCAAGACTTAACTAGGAGCTTGCTACCCACAGAATCTCATTCATATGCAGACACAAGGGTGATATTGGTTAGGGACTGAATAAAGATGGGGAAAAATAGACTTCTGACCCCGAATCCATTTTGATAGAAGCAAGAGCCAAAAGTCCCCTTTTCCTTCCTCAAAAAAAGAAGTATCCTACCTAGAGGTTTAGAAATATCCATTTACTTAAAACAATGATCCAATTTAGCATTAATAATAATAGCCTGACAGACAAGTTCTGAATAAATATGTTCATCTCTTTAATATTCATGACAGAGCATTAACTCAGTTTCCCCTTGGAACAGTTCTCTGTTCCAAAATTAATAAGGGTCTTCACTTGGGTGTCAGGAAAGCTTAATACTGAATTGACTTCATACTCACTAAAAGCACAGTTTAGCTAGTGGGCTTCCCAACTAAAATAATTCTGCAATTTTGAACTGTCATTCCAAACAGAGTGAAATTTAGACATTTAAAACTATGCAAAGTCTAAGAAAGCTTACCAACACAGATTCTTTTTTTTCCTTAATACTCAATTTATCAATATTTTTTATTTACATGTGTCCCTCTTTTTCCCCCCTTTGACACATCTTCCCCGCTCCCGCCCCCCACCACTGCCTTCAGCGTACTGTTGTCTGTGTCTATTGGTTATGAATATATGCAGATAAGTTCTTTGGTTTATCTCTTCCTGCCCGCCCCCCACCCCCCATTCCATCTGACATCTGTCAGTCTGTTCCCTACTTTCATGTCTCTGGATCTCATCATATTCCACAAGTGAGTGAAATCATGTGATATTTGTCTTTCTCTGATTGACTTATTTCGTTTAGCATAACACTTTCCAGGTCCCTCCATGTCATCTCAAAGGTGAAGAGATCTTTCTTTCTTATAGCTGTATAGTATTCCATTGTGTAAATGTACCACAGCTTTTTATCCATTCATCTACTGATGGACATTTGTGTTATTTCCAGATCTTAGCTCTTGTAAATAGCACTGCTATGAACATAGGGGTGTACATATTCTTTCTGATTGGTGTTTCAGGCTTCTTAGGATTTATTCCTAGAATTGAGATCACTGGATCAAATGACAGCTCAATTTTAATTTTGGGGGGAGACACTATATTGTTTTCCATAGTGGCTGCACCAGCCTGCATTCCCACCAACAGTGTACTAGAGCCCCCTTTCTCTACACCCTTGCCAGCGCTTATTGTTTGATGATTTGTTGATGGCGGCCATTCTGGCAGGTGTGAGGTGATACCTCATTGTTATTTTAATTTTCATTTTTCTGATGATTTAGTGATGTTGAGCATTTTTTCATATGTCTCTTGGCCATTTGTGTGTCCTGTCTAGAGGAGTGTCTATTTAGGTCCTCTGCCCATTTTTTAATTGGGTTATTTGTCTTCCTTTGGTTGAGTTGTATGAGTACTCTATATATTTTGGAAATTAACCCCTTATCTGATATATCATTGGCAAATATGTTCTCCCATACAGTAGGTTCCCTTTTCATTTTGATGGTTGTTTCTTTTGCTGTACAGAAGCTTTTTAGTTTGATGTAGTCCCACTTATTATTTTTTTCCTTTGTTTCTCTTGCCCTAGGTGATGAATTGGTGAAAATTCTACTATGTGTGATGTCTGAGATTTTGCCACCTACATTTTCTTCTAGGATTTTCATGGTTTCACGAGTGACATTTAAGTATTTTACCCATTTTGAGTTTATTCTTGTGTGTGGTGTAAGTTGGTGGTCTAGTTTCTTTCTTTCTTTCTTTTTTTGCATGTAGCTGTCCAATTTTCCCAGCACCATTTACTGAAGAGACTGTCTTTACTCCATTGTATGCTCTTGCCTCCTCTGTCAAATATTAATTGAGCATAATGTCTTGGGTTGACTTCCAGGTTCTCTGTTCTGTTCCATTGATCTATATACCTGCTTTTATGTCAGTATTAGGCTGTTTTGATTACAGTGGCTTTGTAGTATAACCTGAAATCTGGAATTGTGAACCCTCCTACTTTGTTCTTCTTTTTCAAGATTGTTGTGGCTATTCAGGGTCCTTTTGGGTTCCAAATAAACTTTTGGAGTATCTGTTCTACATCTGTGAAGTATGCCATTGGTATTTTAATAGGGATTGCATTGAATCTATTGGGTATGGACATGTTAATGATGTTGATTCTTCCAATCCATGAACATGGTATATATGCTTTCACTTTTTTATATCTTCCTCTATCTCTCTTTTAAATGTCCTATACTTTTCTGAGAACAGGTGTTTTAAGTCCATGGTTAAGTTTATTCCTAGGTATCTTAATTTTTTTTTGTTGCAATGGAGTTTTTTTGTTTTTTTTAGTTTCTCTTTTTGTGTGTTCATTATCGGTGTATAAAAATGCCAATAATTTCTGGATGTTGATTTTGTATCCTGCCACTTTGCCAAATTCATTTATTAACTCTAGTAGTTTTTTGGTGGCATCCTTAGGGTTTTCTATGTACAATATTATGTCATCTGTGAATAATAACAGTTTCACTTTCTGCTTTCCAATTTGGATACCTTTCATTTTTTCTTCTTGTCTAATTGCTGTAGTTAAGACTTCCAGTACTGTATTGAATAAGAGTACTTAGCAGAAACCAAACTCAGGTGAAAGTGGACATCCCTGTCTTGTTTCTGTTCTTGAGGGAAATGCTTTTAGTTTTTGTCCATTGAGTATGATGCTGGCTGTAGGTTTTTCACATATGGCCTTTATTATGTTGAGGTACAGTCCTTCTATTCCCACTTTGCTGAGAGTTTTTATCAAAAATTGGTGCTGGGTTCTGGCCCAGTTTTGCTCAGTGGTTAGAGCATTTGCTCACATTAGAGACCCGAGTTTGGTTTCTGCTAAGGGCACGTATCTCAGTTGCAGTTTGTCCCCAGCCCCAGTTGGGGTTGTGTGGGTGGCAACCAGTCAATGTGTCTCTCTCACATTGATGTTTCTTTCTCTCTCTTTCTCCCTCCCTCCCTACCTGAAGATAAATGCAAAAATTTCCTCGGGTGAGGATTAAAAAAAAACAAAACGGGTGCTGGATTTTGTCAAATGCTTTTTCAGCATCGTTTGATATGATCATGGTTTTTATCTTTCATTTTGTTTATGTGGTGTATCACATTTATTGATTTTTGAATATTGTACCACCTTTGTATCCCTGGAATAAATCCCACTTGGTTGTGGTATATAATTTTTTAAATATATTGCTGGATCCGATTTGCTAAGATTTTGTTGAGGATTTTGGTGTTTATGCTCATCAGGGATATTGGCCTGCAATTTTCTTTCTTTGTAGTGTCTTTATCTGGTTTTGGGATTACGGTTAAGCTGGCTGCATAGAAAGCTTGGAAGTCTTCCTTTCTCTTGAATTTTTTGGAATAGTTTGAGAACAGGTGTTAGCTCTTCTTTGAATGTTTGGTAAAATGCCCCCGTGAAGCTGTCTGGACCAGGGCTTTAGTTTGCTGGGAGTGTGTTGATTACTGCTTCTATTTCCTTAACTGTTATTGGTCTGTTAAAGTTTTCTGGCTCTTCTCAGTTGAGTTTTGGAAGACTGTATGATTCTGGGAATTTGTCCATTTCGCCTAAGTTGTCAAATTTATTGGCAGATAATTGTTCACAGTATTTTCTTACAATCCTTTGTGTTTCTGTAGTGTCACCTCTTTTGTTTCTGATTTTGTTAATGTGGGTCTTCTCTCTTCGTTTCTTGGTGGGTCTGGCTAAAGGTTGATCAATCTTGTTTATCTTTTAAAAGAACCAGCTCTTAGCTTCATTGATCTTTTGTATTGTATTTTTAATCTCCATGTTGTTTGTTTCCACTCTGATTTTTATTATTTCCTTCCCTCTACTAACTCTTTGTTTTCTTTTTGTTCTCTCTCTAAATCTTTAAGTTGTATGATTAGATAGTTTATTATAAAATTTTCTTGTTTCGTAAAATAGGCCTGTATTGCTATGAACTTCCCTCTCAGGACTGCTTCTGCTGTGTCCCATAGATTTTGTGTTATTGTGTGTTCATTTTCATTACTTTCCAGGAAGTTTTTAAATTTTTTTCTTGATCCATTAGTAATGCATTCATTGTTTAATATTGTGCTATTTAGCCTCCATGTGTTTGAATGTTTTTGTTTTTATTGTAACTGATTTCTAGTTTCATGCCATTGTGATCCGAGAAGATGCTTGATATTATTTCAATCTTCTTGAACTTGCAGAGATTTAGTTTGTGACCTAATATAGTAAACATTATTATACCATAAATGTATCAGTAATTATAACATGTAGGTAAAATATTAAATTCTCTTATTAAAAGACAAAAAAATAAAAGAGCCCTAGCCAGGTGGCTCAGATAAAATTTTTTTTAAATAAATAAAGAAAGAAAATAACATACATAATCCACAATCACGACATTAAATTATGTGGCTCAGTTGGTTGAGTGTTATCCCAGGCACCGAGAGGTCACCAGTTCCATTCCTGGTCAGTGCACATGCCTGGGGTTGTGGGCTCAATCCCCAGTAGGGGGTGTGCAGGAAGCAGCTGATTGATGTTTCTCTCTCCCTTCCTCTTTCTCTAAAATCAATAAAAATATTTTTTAAAAAAGAGAACCACTTCCATCCCCCTAAAACAAACAGTGGTTTGAAAAGTATTGGTGCTGCAGCTGCACATTGTGTAATGACTACCAACAGGAAGAGTAAGACTTTAACCACTATCATTCGATTTCTCACATGCATTATCCCAATCTTGATTTATAAAATAATTATAAGTGTGTATGTATGTGTGTGTGTGTGTATCTATATCTATCTATCTATATATTTTTTTATCCTTACCTGAGGAAAGATATATATATATATATATTTGCATTTATCTTCAGATAGAGCGGGAGGGAGAGAGGGAGGGAGAGAGAGAGAAACATCAACATGAGAGAGACACATCGATTGGTTGCCACCTGCACAACCGCAACCAGGACTGGGTACGAACTGCAATTAAGGTACGTGCCCTTAACGAGAATCGAACCCAGGACTCCCCAGTCCACGGGCTGATGCTTCAACCAGCCTGGGCAATTATATTTTACATATTTATAGATTTTTCACCAAAAAAAATGACAGTTAAAATTTTATTTTTAAATAGTATGTTAGTGGACATTCAATTTAAATGAAAATTGAAAAATAATTACAGTGATGAATCATTAGACTTACGTTTTTCCTTTCCATTCCACAATCTTTGAAAAGTTAAGGTAATTGTCTTCTCCAGTTAGTAAAACATAGTCTCCATCATTAGTCCCATTTTTCTGAAAGTAAATGAATGTGATCATTTAAAGCAGGGGTGGAGAATGTCCAGCCTGTGGACCATATCAATACCAGTTAACATCACACGCCTCACTAAATTAACCAGATCAAGTATAGTAGGCTAACTTTTTTTTAATCTGCATTTGAGGACATTTTTTTTGCATTTATCTTCAGATAGAGCGGGAGAGAGGGGGGCGGGGAAGAGAGAGAGAGAAACATCAATGTGAAAGAGACACATCGACAGGCTGCCACTCACATGACCCCAACCGGGGCAGGGAACAAACTGCAACCAAGTTACGTGCCCTTAGCAGGAACCGAACCCAGGACTCTCTAGCCCGCGGGCCAATGCTCTATCTGCTGAGCCAAATCGGCCAGGGAAGTAGGCTAATTTTTAAGTTGATAATTTTGTATGGCCCATAAATGATGTTATAAATATCCAAAAGGCTCTTGGCAGAAAAAATGTTCTAAAGTAACATGACGGATAATTTTATGTGTCAACTTGGATGACTACAGTGCCCAGTTGTTTAGTTAAACAGTTGTCTAGATATGGCTGTATTTTGTAGATGTGATTTAAAATCACACTGATAATTACCATTGATATTGTGGGTGGGCTCTTTCAGTTAGATGAGGGCTTAATAACAAAATCTAAGGTTTTCTAGAGAAAAAAGAAATTCTCAAGACTGCAACATAGAAATCCTGCCTGAGTTTCCAGCCTGCCAAACCTGTCCTATGGATTTCAGACTTGCCACTTGCCAGCCCCCAAAATTGCAAAAGCCAATTCCTTAATATAAATCTCTCTAAAGTTAGATAGGCATAGATATTTATCTCCCATTGATTCTATTTCTTTGGAGAACCCTAACTGATACAGTAACTAACAAACTTAATCTTCATAAAACTGTCCTAGTTGGGCCTAAGTGCTACATGAGACTGAACCAGAACTAGAGAACAGAGTGAGGAACTGCCAAACACAGAATTATCATATGACCCTAAAACCCTACTCCTATGTAGACCCCAAGAGAATTCCATTCCAAGGTACATATCCAATGTTCATACAAAAAATCTGTATATAAGTGTTCGTAGCAGCATTATTCACAATTGCCAGAGAGCAAAAACAACACAAATATCCATTAACTGCTGAGTGGATAAACAAAGGGCGGTATATCCATACAATGGAATATTACTTAGCCATAAAAAGGAATGAATGCTGATACATGCTACAACATGGATGGACCTTGTAAATTTTATAATAAATAAAAGAAGCCAGAGCAAAGATCATATATTGTGTGATTCCATTAATATGCATGTCCAACTGCCAGAGATGGCTGCAACTCAGAGGTGGTGCCTCTTGGCTTCCATATGTATAGTGCACATGGGTGTCAAGATTTTACTTTTATATTTTGCCTGATAAAACCACACTGCAGCCCAAATGCCCTTCCTCTCTGGCTCCGAGAAAGCTCCCACACTGAGGCAGCCTGGCTCCTCTCCTCTCCTCCTGTGGCCCAGGCCAGCCCGGCCTCTTCTGCCTAGGACCAGGCGATCCAGCACCCCACAGAGCAGGAGGCAGGCTGGGCAGGGAGGGCGCTTACTTATGTTTTGTTTCAAACAAAAAAACTACCTTATTTTCTTTACAAAAGCAAAAAAGTCAATAAAAAATGATACCAACCTTTGAACTTACTAGAAAAAAAAAAAGTCTATGGATTTATAGGCAAATCCACAGAGACAGAAAGTGGTTGCCAGGGGCTGGTACGGGGGAAATGGAAGTGACTGTGGATGAGTATGTGGTTTTTGTAGGAAGGATAATAAAAATATTCTGGAATTAGAAAATGGTGGTGGTTGCAAAATCTTGTGAATATATGGAAAAAACACTAAATTGTACATTTTAAAACGGCAGTGGTATTCTAGGCGCTAGAGATGGATCAGTAAACAAAACACAATTGTTGCTGCCCTCATGTTGCATAGTGTCTAATACTATTATTATAATGTTTTCATTCTTTGAAATGTTTCCTATTAAATGCTTATTATGTGACAGGCACTTTATAGTATACTAAGAATAATAAAATAACCAAAGACTATTCTATTTCCATTGCTCTAACCTATCTTTCAAGCTTTGGCATAGATATATTTTTGGAGTTTTAATATAGATGCCTTTGGGGGTAAGAAATTGAGGCCTACTACTTGTGTTCTGCTTTCTTTTTATTTTTTATTTTGAATGGCAAGTGAAGGGAACATACTTTTCATCTGTTGCCATGTTCCTTTCTCTTTTCTTTTTTAATCCTCACCCAAGGATATTTTTCCATTTATCTTCAGATAGAGTGGGGAAGGGGCGAGAAACACTGAACATGAGAGAGACACATTGATTGGCTGCTTCCTGCACAACTCCAACCAGGGCCGGGGACCGAACTGCAACCCAGGTACGTGATGCCTGGCTGGTGTGGCTCAGTGGATTGAGCATTGTCCCGTGGACTGAGTATTGTCCCGTGGACTGAGAGGTCCAGGTTAGATTCCTGGTCAGGGCATGGCCTGGGTTGCAGGTTCAGTCCCCAGTAGGGGGCATGCAGGAGGCAGCCGATCAATGTTTCTCTTTCACATCAATCTTTCTACCTCTCTTCCCCTTCCTCCCTATCTAAAAAAAATCAATAAAAACATATTTTTAAAAAATTTCCCGTGTTATCAAAAGTTCTTTATAGATATAATTTAATGACTCCATGACAGTATGTGAAAATAATTTACTTAACCATTCTTTTTTTTTATCCTCACCTGAGGACATTTTCCCATTTTTTGTTCAGATAGAGTGGGAGGGAGAGAGAGGAAGAGAGAAACATCGACGCGAAAGGGGCACACTGAGTGGCTGCCACCTGCACAACCCAACCAGGGCCAGGGACAAACCGAGGTACGTGCCCTTAGTGGGAACCGAACCCAGGTCTCTCTGGACCATAGGCCGACGCTCTGACTGCTGAGCCAAACCAGCCAGGGCCCATTCTCTTCTTATTGAATATTCAGTTTTGAGGTTTTTTTGCTACTATAAATAATGTTGTATGAATATCTTTATGCCTAAAAACCCTTTCGGTATGTTTGTTTTCTAAACAGACCACTAAAAGTGAAATTATTAGATAAAAGAAAATGAACATTTATAAGCCTTTTGGTACATATTATCAAGTTGCTCAAGGTCACCCAGCTGTAAAGTGTTGGAAATAGCAGGATAAATCAGTTTACATTTCCCAAATGACTTTTGTTAAACTTTGCTAACCAGAGGAACTAAAATAAATGGTTTCTTGTCTCTTTTTTGCATTTCTGTATTCACTGAGATTGGACTCCTTTTTCCTATCTTTTAGCTATATACTGTAAAAACATGCACAACCTTTGTGAATTCTCTTTTCATGTTTTTTTTTGCTTACTTGGATTCTTCTTTTTGTCACTTAACATTATTTGCCAACTATGTCAACATATCAACATGGTCCACATCCATAATGGTCATGTCATGTTCCACATATGAAATTCTGTGACTTTAAGAAATGACATAGGACTCTTCCTCAAGAGCAGCAGTGTGAACATTACAACTTGGTTGAAAATTTAAATACCCCACATAAAAAAAGTGCTGAACCACCTGTTTTCAAAATGCATGTATGTTGCTTCTTAAAGTCCTCCACTTAACTCAGATGTGGCTAAGCTAAGTGGTTAAGCATTTAACTAAAACAAGATTCTCCCCAGCTGTTATCTGCCCAAGAATCAGACACTGACTGTGATGCAGCTTCCCTGTCTCTCGCTAGAACTTTGATCTGAGGAAAAGCAGGGATAAATAGGTTTTATGTTACTGCGGTAGGCATGTGAGTTGGATACAGGGAACATATTACTGCAGGAGGTTGAGAAATGTTCTGAGGACATTCACACCACTATCAAAACATAGGCAACATCCATCCTCCCGGTAGAATTGGCTAGACTGGCTGACTTCTCAAACATACTTTCCAACAACTAGAACTTTATACACCAGAGAACCCACACTCGGTGGGAGGTGCTTGAACTCTCTTACATCAAGGCGAACAGAGATACCCTAAAATCAGCGGGTTTGGATATACTTTATAATATGCAAATAAGAGTGTCTGATACTTAACCTTTTCCCTTCTTCTCAGGAGTTCTGTGAACTCACCTCATCTTAATCTTCCTCACACCCTATTCCTCCCCATTACTTGTTTGGTTGTTTCATCATTAAAGTCTTTGCAGGAAAAGTGATGGTGTGAACTAAGGTTGAGCAGTGGGGCCGGCAGACAGACCTAGAGTGTCAGAGGGGAATGATGGCAGAACCCACCAGGGCTGAGGAAAGACCCGGCCAGGCCTGGGCGGTGCAGAGCTTCACAGCCTGTCCTGGTCACTGAATGAATTCAGTGCTACTGGCTAAAGAGTTAGTATTTAGCCAGAGCAGATGAAAAACTAAACAGAAAACTTTGCCTTTTTTTTTTTTAAACCAACAACACTACAGAGAGTTTATTTGGTATCAAAATGAAAACATATACCAATCATTCATATTAATTCAGGGTCATTTTTTGAGCCAGCCATGAAGGGGAAGAATACTGGTTCCTGAAATGCACACTGCAACTAACTCATAGTTTGAAAAGTACTTTTGTGGGCTTCTCACTTAGACATTTCAAAACAACCTTTGAAGTATGGGTACTTCTAGTCTCAAGTTAGAAATGATGAAACTGAGGTTCAAAAAAGTCCCATAGTTATTAAATGAAGCCAAAATGCAAATCTAGGCCCTCTGATTCTAAATCTCATCTTTTGTTCCTGGATGCGGGGAATCCACTGAAGGTTCCAACCTAACTGGGCACTGGTAGACCTCTCCACTAATGGGCCTGCAGAGACGCAGTGACCCTCCAACCATCAGCAGGAGTCTGGGCAGCGATCACAGCCGTGCTGACAGCTCGCTGCGGGAGCAGTTTTTTCTCCCTGTACTAAAACACTTTCTTATTTTTCATATACTGTACAAGACATCTAGAACAGGCAATTTTGGTCTTCTCCTAGAAGAAACCTAAAGTGAAGATGAAACCTGGCTTGGGTGTCCCCTCCGCTGAACAAAGGGGCTCTGAAGAGAAAAATTCACTTACCCCATAGTACAATCCAAAATAGGTAGGGATGTCGGGTCTGAAAGGGTGGACGAGGGACAAGATCTCATCTTTGTAGCCCCACAGCAAATCGTGGACCGTGTGCGTCACAAAGAACTTCTGCTTGTAGGCCTTCAGCAGAGCCCGGACGAGGACCTGGATGAAGCCCTGGTCGGCCCATTCCATGGCAGTCTGAGAAGCACAGGCAAATTCAGATAGCAGTGTGCCCATCCCACTCTCCCACTGATCTTCGGCAAAGGGAGCTGGAAACTTAAATGCTGAGATCACACAGCTGAAAAATTAGCCAGCAAACTCCTCTCTGGCTGCGTGCACAAGAATAAAATTCCTGCCGTGGCTGGCAGGGCTCAGTTGGTTGAGCATCGTCCTGTGCACCAAAAGGTCAAGGCTCCATTACCAGTCAGGGCACATGCCCAGGCAGCGAGTTTAGTCCCTATCAGGGTGCCTATGAGAGGCAAATGACCAATGTTTGTCTCACATCAGTGTTTCTCTCTCTCTCTCCCTGTAGCTCTCTAAAATCAATAAAAACTTATTTTTTAAAAATATACATATAACTCTTCAGTTAATATCTTTTCTCAGTATTACATTTTCACTGTAAGCTTCAACTCCCTATTTGCTGCCTTGTTACCTACACACTGCAGGAGGAAAGGGAAAAGCTGTTTAATTACATTGGCATCTTCCTCCTGCTGGTAGGGTGTGGGGGGTGTGGCAGAGGCTGGGTCCCTTATTATAAACTTGACACCACTAGGCAGCAGGGCAGGGCCAGATCTCGGATCTAAGGTTTTCTAGGTCCTGGATCTACCATGGGTGTCCAGCAGCACTCTGAGTGGTCACCTAGAAGTTAGTGTGGGACCCTCAGACGAGGCTGGTGTAGGTGAACAGGAAAGTTTCCTGAGTGTCCAGTGTGTTATGAGATGGAATTGCCGTTGTAATCAGAGCCCAGCGGAATCACTCTAGGCTGTTCCCAACAGCCCAGCCTATTATTTGGAATGGGGAAAAACAGTCAATATATATTTTGAGAACTTAAAAATCTAAGGTAGAACTCTAAATGAAGAAGTGGCATGCAAATTCTATTGCTAGAGTTTCTGAACCAAAACAAGGGGCAAATAAATAGTTTTAAAATTATTAGCTACTCAAAAAAAATCGTAGAGACATATTTATCTACACAAGTGCTGATCCTGAAAACACAGCAAGAAATTGTGAAAAAAAAAATCTAAAATTTGCATGTTGTCACTATTTGAAAAGACCTTGTTTGAAAGACCTCAGAAAAATGTCTAAGATAAACTTTAAAGAAGAGCAGGGGGGAAAATATATTTCCCTTTTTATATATGTATCTTTTTAACATAACTTAGCTCCTCAATGTAAAGCCATAATAGCCTTAAATTAGCTTTTTCCATTCTTCTAAAACCCACAAATATGGTACTTAAAATGCTAACTTACCACTGCAGGAATATTTACTGTTCTAATTAAGTGAACTTCAGCGTCTCCAACAGACATCTCGCGTACAAAAACATAGGCCTTATTGCTAACAGCAGATATTGTTGTTCCATTATCTCCAAACTGAATATCTGTTTTGTTTCTGATTTCCCTAAAAGAAAAACATAGATTTTGTTTGAAAACAGTCACTACTTTAAAAAGCAACACTGTCCCCTTCTTTCAATATCAAAGCCATTTCCAGTATACTATTGCCAACACAACCACTGGAAAGAGCGACTGGGCCGGCTCAGGCTCAGTGGTTCCTTCCAGCAGCCTTCTCTTGCCAACCACTCTTGCTGCCAGGGTGGTTGGAGACCTGTGGGCACCCTCCAGCTCTATTAAAAAAACAGAAAGAAGCCCTGGCCAGTTTGGCTCAGCGGTTAGAGCGTCGACCTGCGGTCCTGAGAGACCCGGGTTCGTTCCCGCTAAGGGCACGTACCTCGGTTGCAGTTTGTCCCCGACCCTGGTCGGTCGTGCGGGTGGCAGCCACTCGATGTGTCCCTTTCACATCGATGTTTCTCTCTCTCTCTCTCTGTTCCTCTCTCTCCCTCCCACTCTACCTGAACAAAGAATGGAAAAATGTCCTCCGGTGAGGATAAAAAAAAAAAAAAAAAAAACAGAAAGAAGAAAGAGAGACTGCATGCAGATACTAACCCCGTAAAAACTGGAGATTAAAGCAATGTGAGAAGGAAGTGAGGCCTAGGATAGAATCTCTTTCTCAAAAAACTGTCGTTCTCATTCTTTCTTCCTTACAATTCGGAAAATGCAATGATCAAGGGTTACCTTGACCAGGGAATCAAAGCCTGAACTCTCTCCTGGGTTATGGTTGGGTCCCAAAATATATTCATTCCCGAGGAATACATATAAAATCTGAAAGAGGTCGGCCTGTTACAACACTTGTGCAATTGGCAGTTAGGGGGTTTCTGCAGTGGACTTTTGGTTGTTCGACATCCACTCCCCCTTTCTCTGGTCAGAGGAGGCCTGATTTTCTTTCCTCTCCTGCACTGGGCAGAGCTCAACCAATTCTTTCCCCTCAGCTCTGACTCCGGAGCTCAGAGCCTCCAGATGGAAAACACGATCGTGAGGATCCTCGAGCTCCGGAGATTCCGGTCCTTAAAGCTGCTCTGGACCCTGCCTCTTCCTTCCCAGCTGCAACTTGGACTCTGTAACCCACTTTATATAGCCTTCAAATAAATTATCTTTTTAGTTAAATTGGCCAGAGGTAGTTTCTCTTGCTGGCAGCCAAAGCCCCTCACACAGAAAGCACGCCCCCCCAGTCTTTTATAGATGAGAAAGGGAGATTCAGATAAAATAACCAGCCCAGGACTAACCAGGAGGCAGAAAAAGGTATAGAATCCTGCTCCCGACTTCCCGTTCTAGGTTTTCCTAGGTTTGACTCCACAGGGAAGTGAATGCAAAGTGACTGGTTAGAAAGTGGAGGAGAAGAGGAAATTTCAAAGACAAATCCCTGCCTCTGCCCAGGCTGGTGCCGGCAGGGGAGCAACCTCCACACCCCCTTTCCGATCCCAGAGCCGTTCTGCAGGCAAGGTGAAGAGGAAGAGACTGCTCTTGGAGTACCCATTTACAACCAGGGCCCAGGACCCCACACTGGCCTAGCTGACCACTAAGGAACCAGAAGCAGAAAAAGTGACCCCAGGGTGTACACGTTTGTACGCAAAGAAAGCCAAGCCAGGGAGCAGAGAGCTGGGATTCAGCATCAGGCCAAAAACCCAGGATCAACTTTGCCAAGTTTTCTAACTAATGACGACAACTGATGACCTTGCTAAAGCTTTTTCAAACTTTCTTCACTGAGCCCTGGGTCATGAACCTAGAGGCCTGAATAATCCCAACCCTGGGGCCTGCATCATTTGTGTTTGTTTATGTGTACTGACTCTGGCAGTGGCTTTTAGAGAGTGTTCTTTTTTTTTTAAATTTCTTCAGATAGAGCGGGATGGGGAGAGAGAGGACGAGAGAGAGAGAGAGAGAGAGAGAAATATCAACGTGAGAGAGACACATCGATCAGTTGCCACCCACAAGACCCCATCCGAGGCCGCGGACAAACTGCAACTGAGGTACATGCCCTTAGTGGGAACCAAACCTGGGTCTCTCTGGACCGCGGGCCGACACTCAACCCGCTGAGCCAAACCGGCCAGGGCGAGAGTGTGTTCTTTATGTCTTACCCTGTAAGAGCCTGATGTTTGGGGGCTCCGATCACTTTAAGCCTTGTAACTTGACTGGGTTTCTCAATATACTTCAAAAAGTCAAAGCCATGGCTTCCCAAACCACAAAAATATTTAATTCACTTGGCAGGCATCAAGGGTCCATGACAGGTCACTCACAGCTAATCCCATAACTTCCCCTCAGCCTTCAGCCACCCTAACGCATGACTGACACGTGGCCTCTGCAGTGTGGTGTAGCTGAAGGAAGACACCACCACTGGCTGCCAGGAACGCCTCCCGCTCTGCAGAGCAAGAAAACAAGGGAAGAGATGGTGAGGGGCCGCCCCTCGGAGCAACCCCGTCACATAGTCAGGGGACGCCAAACGCTTCTCCTTCCAAGCACGCCTGTCCTCTGGCAGCCTCGGGAGGCCACCGGCATACCTGGTTACCCGGATCTCCCCACAGCTGGTCAACAACAGCCAACTAGAAGCAGGGCGGTCTTCTGGTGAACAGCAGACTAAGAGCAAGAAGTAATTAATCGCTGCTTTACTGTATCTGACAAGACCAAAGAAGCTTCTAGACATGGAAACGAAAGCTTTTTTAAAAACCAGGCAAAGTGAATCTTAGGCTTAGACAATTAATTAGAAGCCATATTTCAAAGTGCCTGGTATGATCCCTGGTACTTAGTAGATGCCAATAAATCCTACTGATGTTGAAGGTCCCAGGACATCATAGGCTCAGACTATAGCTTGATATTTGTTATACGCAATGGTGGCCCTAGTCATTGAGAAAAGGTTGAGACCTGCTTCATGAACTATTTCATCAGGCAGGAAAACACCTGTTTGATTTCAGAGATATTTGATTTTAAATCATTTTTTTAAAGTTCTTAACTTGAAAAACAATTTTATTGATTTTTAGAGAGAGAGGAAGGGAGAAGGAGAGAGAAACATAGACCAGCTGCCTCCTGCACGCCCCCTACTGGGGACTGAGCCTGCAGCGGGGGCATGTGCCCTGACTGGGAATCCCACCTGGAATCCAAACAGCAACCTTGAGATGCACAGGACGATGCCCAACCAACTGAGCCACACTGGCCAGGGCTAAAGTTCTTAACTTTTTAAAAGAAAAAATTTTTTTTAAAACTCCTGAATGTTTAAATAAGATCTCATCAGCACAGACGGCAAACAATAGCTTGAGCTAAGAAAACCAAAAGGAACAATTTCTTTTTTTTTTCCTCACCCGAGGACATTTTTCCATTTTTTGTTCAGATGGAGCGGGAGGGAGAGAGAGGAACAGAGAGAGAGAGAAACATCGATGTGAAGGGACACATCGAGTGGCTGCCACCCGCACGACCAACCAGGGCCGGGGACAAACTGCAACCGAGGTACGTGCCCTTAGCGGGAACCGAACCCGGGTCTCTCGGGACCGCAGGCCGACGCTCTAACTGCTGAACCAAACCGGCCAGGGCCAAAAGGAACAATTTTAATTAGTTGGAAATTAATGTCTATCTGTGCGATACCTCCGAGATTTGGGGTAAATCAGACATACACACTACCATCAGATAATCCGTATCTTTTGTCACTGTAGTTCTTCATTCATCCAATGCTCTTGCTGAGAATCACTCTCAGAAGCCACCAAACACAGAGGGCAGAGTGTGGGTTAAGATCTGACTGCCAGGTTTTGCATTCAATTCTGGCCTCACCCCTCACTAGCTCTGTGACTAAGAAGTTACTTATTGCTTCTGTGCCTCAGCTTCCTCATCTGTAAAATGGAGATAAGAATGTACCTTCCTTGTAGGGTTGTGGTGAGAATTAAATTCGCATAAGCTTGTCATTCCAGTTAGAACACTACCTGGCACAGACTCAGAGCTTAGGAAGCAATAGCTACTAACATTATGCGTGAGGGCTTGTGCTAAGCTCTTGAGATGGAGAGATGTTAAGACCTGGTTCCCCGCCTCAAAGAATCCACGGTACAGCAAGGAGACTTCCATCTGAATAGCTACCTCACACCTGGAAAGTGCTCCAAAGCTGCCCTCCAGGTGCCGGCGGGACACCCAGAGGACGCCGGAGGAGTGGCCATGGAATGGGAGTCCTGAGGAAGGTGTCCTGCGGGAACGCATTGGGGCTGGTTCTGGAAGGAGCGGGCTTCCCTGGGGAGGAAGGGTGAAGGGGCTTCCAGGGCCAGCAGCACAGCCTGAGAGCACAGGACGTGTTTGGAAGTGGAGGGGTGAGCACACTGGTCATGGCAGAGGTTGTGCAGCCGGCAGCTCAGGGCAAGGCTGGGCTGAACAGACAGGTCCGTGGAGTGAAGTCACAGGGTGGATGAGGGGAGCAGGAAGAAAGGGCAGAGGGAGGGAAGTGGGGCCCCAGGGAAGAAGCTGAGCAGCACCTGGATTTAATGTCCCATCACCACTGCCTTGTCAAGTGAGTGAGAGACTGAACCCCGAGAGCCCAAAGCAGGGCTCTGAGAAAATGCACGGGTGGGGCGGGAAGGACATGCACGTTTGTTGGGGGTATGCAAGAAACATCTTTACTCCTGGAGATGGAAATGGTCCCGTCCCAGAAGTGTTACCCTGACCCAGCCAGCCGGCCGTCACTCACCCAGCATGACTACGTGCATCTGAAACTCTCAAGCACCTGGTCGTCACCTTTTGTACAGGACAAGGTAGGGGGAAATCTTTTTCTATTTTTCTTACTTTGGAGCAATTCAAAGATGTTTTAAAAACTTATCTAAAGACACTTTGTTTCTATTTTGAGAAAGAAGTGGTATCAGAGAAGAGTGAGCCAGGTTTAGAAAATACTATAATAATGGAAATAATAACCATGGAATTTCAAAATTTTCTATCATCTCTTTGATATTAAAAAATATATATTTATATATTCTGCTTGGCTCAGAGATGAGTAAAGGATCAAAGGCTGACAGGCAGACTTTGGAAGTTTAAACAAAGTTCCTACCTTTGCTCAACTGCATGGATACAATTAAATCCTTAAGAAATCAGATGTAAAAAAATAGAACTACAGAAAAATAGACTTGAATATCAAACCTTTGAAGAGAATAGCACTTTTTAAGCTCAGAAATGATAGAAAAGTTCATAAAATAACAGATTTCACTATATGTAAATTTTAAAAATAAAAAAGGCAAACAACAGGAAAACAGTAGCCACCGATGTGACAAAGGGTTACATGCTGTGTGTAAGTTTACAGAGTGGTATAAACACACCAGAACCCAGACAGGCTCACGGGCAAAGGACAAGAACTTTGAGTGCGGCCCTGGACGGTTTGGCTCTCAGAGGTTGGAGCGTCGGCCTGTGGACCACTGTCTTTTTGCAGAAACACTAATTATCTGAACTCATCCACATGTGAAAGTTTTGGGAAACAGCCACTGTAAATTGTGTGTCAGATTACTCAGGCCCTCATGGCCTGCGCGGCCTCACCCTCTCAGATTTCCCACCCACAGGCCCATCCACACTGCCCGCTGGGAGCCAGCATGCCCTTCCTTTGCACCCCAGGACTCTGCACACAATGGACAGAGTCAGCTGGGAGGGAAGCCATGGAACTACCAAACACCGGGCAGGAGCTACTGGACTATTCTGTATGTGATCTAGCTAAACAATAGCATAACCAAGTCAGCGGTGACAGAAATCAGACCCGCTAGATGACAGCAAAAGGCCTGCCGGCAGGGCTGTGAATCTCCTTAAAAAGCCACATTTTTTTACAAATCCTGTACCTCACCACCCACTTGACACCTGCAGGAGCACTTCATGGTTTGCACTGAATATGTTGAGTGTCCATTCCTAAAGAAAATCACTCATTTTCAGGCCCCTATTCCCCCTTTTTTAAAGAAATATGTTTTTATTACCCTGGCCGGTTTGGCTCAGCAGTTAGAGCATCGGCCAGCAGACCAAAGAGTCATGGGTTCAATTCCAGTCAAGGGCACGTACCTTGGTTGCAGTTCACCCCTGGCTCTGGTCAGGTTGTGTGGGAGGCAGCCAGTTGACATGTCTCTCATTGATGTTTCTCTCCCTCCCTCCCTCCCTTCCACTCTATCTGATGATAAATGTAAAAATATCCTCAGGTGAGGATTTAAAAAATTAAAATAAATATGTTTTATTGATTTATTTTAGAGAGAGTGTAAGGGAGAAAGAGACAGAAACATGGATGTGAGAAAATCACAGGGTGACCTTAAAGGGTTGGTTGGGGTGAAGAGTAACTCTTCATGGGTCAGTAACCACGTGAGGCCAGCCCAGGAAGACACAGCTGCACTTCCAAACAGAGCCGGCCGAGACCTAGCTCCAGGCCACGAAGCCGATCTCACACTGTCATCAAAACCTGTGCTCCCACACACTGCGCAGCACCCAGCAGATGCTGGGGAGGGGCAGGCGAGAACTCAGGCCAGGGCAGGTAGATCCGTATTCCCAGGATGGCAGGGAGACAGTCAGGACTCACCTGTAGGTGTACGGCCCCACTTCTTCTAACCGAGGGATCTCCCCACTGAGGATCTCCTCTGGGTTGGTGACATTAAAGAAATAGAACTGGATGTACACAGGCAGAGGGGGCTTCTTCCAGGAGTCAAAGGTCTCAGAACCATTCCTTAGCACAATATTCTAGGGGAGAAAAAACAAAAAGAGATTTACAAAGTATAATGCCGCTGGCTTTGAACACAGCGGCAGAGAGAAAGACAGTCCCTACTCTGACCTCCGGACGTGCTTACCTTTTTCATAGGCATTCAAGTGCCACCCCTTGAGAGCAGGGCCACGCTTTATGCCATGCTTTATGAAACTCACAGCCCTGTTAAAACATAAAAGGTCTTCCAAAATATTTGTGATAAAGGCTGCTGGAGCCATAGCTCATGGATGGAAATATGGTATTACTAAGGCCATGGGGGTTTTTTTGTTTTGTTTTTCCAATAGCCAAATTAGTTTATTTACAATTGAACTCTTCATAAAATATATTTACAAGATAACCAATTAACACATTGTAAATGATTATCAAAAGTACGAATTACAATAACATGAAATGGGCATAAAACGAAGCTGAAGTGGACAGACAAGCACTTTCTCTTTTTAGTTAATAAACACTAGCTTACATTTTGTTAAAGAAAGGACTCAAAAGGTCCTTTGGCTTTGTTACAAAGATTCCACTGATCATGCACCTGCCGCGAAGTTACGCCTTTCTGAGAAGCACCCGGCACTCCCAGTCTCCCCACGGGAGACCAGCAGGGAGACAGGCCCAAGAAGGTTAGCTCTGGTCCTTCCATTTGAGGGAGAACCACACCCATCCCGATATCTCCACCCCCGGCATCTTTAATTGTATTTTCACATTCAATCCCCAACAAACCCATAATACAAAGAGGCTTATCCCTGGTTTAAAGATGAGGAAGCCGAGCCTCACTTGAGGTTAAGTGCCTCGGGTATTCTTTGTCTATGACCCTTTGTTTTCCATCCTTACCGTGTGTTGTAAACGGAACTGTGGTCCCCCCAAGGTTTGTATATTGAAGTCCTAACCTCAGAATGTAGCTATATTTGTAAATAGAGTTTTTAAAGAGAAATGTAAGGTTAAATGAGGTCAGGACTGTAATCCAATATAATGTCCTTATAAGAAGAGGACATTAGCCCTGGCCAGTTCGGCTCAGTGGTTGGAGCATCAGCCTGCCAACCAGGGAGTCCCGGGTTCAGTTCCTGCTAGGGGCACATACCAAAAAAAAAAAAAAAGAAGAGGATATTAGAACAAATAAACACAAAGGAAAGAGCATGTAAAGACATGGGAAAAAACCAGTTGTCTACAAGTCAAAGATAGAGAGGTCTCAGGAAAAAAAATCAACCTTGCTGACACCTTGACCTTAGACTTCTAGCTTTGAACATAGAGGCAGAGACAGGGACAGTCCAGAATTATGATACAATAAATCACCGTTGTTTACACCACCCAGTCTGTGGTATTTGTTATGGCAGCCCTAGCAATTGCAAACTAACACACCATGCCCTCCTCCCCCCATGACAGGAGTATTCCTCCCGCCTTACTGACTTTAGGCTTGGCCAAGTGACTTGATTTGGTCAACAGAATGAGGGTGAAATGGCAATGCCCTAATTTTAAGCTAAGGTCTTGAGAGGCACGGCAGGTTTCCACCAGCCACCCTCTGCCAAAAGAGGGATGTGCCCCAGGTAGCTCTTGATCCTTCAGCCAAGGCCCCACAACGGTGCTATGTGGGGCAAACACGAAGCCTGAGCTCCAGCCAAGCTCAGCTGCGCCGGCCAAGCTCAGGCTGCAGCCAGCCTGCACACCAAAGCGTGAAAAGTGTCACTGTTGCAGCCGCTGCGCCGGGAGGCTGCTGCTCTCCAGCACTGCCCTGGAAGCCTGCTTAGCACCACACCCGAGTTAACAGTCAGAAGCCTGCTGTCTAGTACTCCTAGCAGTCCTCACTTGTTAATGGAGAAAAACTACATTTCACAAGAAAGGTAATAGCATAGGCTGCAAATAAACAAACCAAAATGCAAACCATGATCAACTCTGTGTTGGCAAGATGGGTCATTGTTAATTTCTCCTTGATGAGATCTTGTATTTAAAAAAAAAAATTTTTTTTTAATCCTCTAACCGCTGAGCCAAACCGGCCAGGGCTATTTTCCAAATTTTTATACCAAGTAAAAAATTAACTTTGAGGAAATTTTTAAAAAGAAAATCAAATGAGGAAAATGGGCTCTACCAATACAGACAATGTAAGGCCACTAGTAAAGCAAGATTCCAAGAGAGGCTTCCCCCGACATCACCTGTCATTCCTCCGGCAGTGAGGACTTGGGGGACAACAGACAAAGGGACGGGCTTCAAGACGTGTTAGAAACTACATGGTAGATGTGCTGGGACACAGCACACAACAGGATGTCACATGATAGCAGACCAGGCCTCTGAGGCGATGGAAGCAATGCTGCGAGGGCCCTTAACGCTACGGCTCTGTCAGTACATAGAAAGCTCCCAAGTCTCTCTGCAGGGAAAAACAAAGGGGCTGGAATCGTGGTCTAAGCCAAGCGGCCTCTGCAGGGCTGGGCGGGCAGGCACAACCACAAGCTGGCTGAGTCAGAGAGCCGGGGAGTACTTGCGAGTTAGCGCCAGTTCAGAACGTCGACTCATCAGATTTCTATCCAAACGGCACATTACTAAAATATTCCTGACCTTTACCATCGGAACTGATTTACTGATCTGAGATGAGACTGATGAGACAGAACGTGTTCACGGCAAACCATGAAGCCCCTCCCTTCAACCTCCCCGCAGTGCACGCTCTCTGGGCTTTGACCTCTCCCTGCCCGGTCCCCCGGGAGCCCAGTCAGTCATTAGGCTGTTTTCAAAAGAGCTTTGTGGTCTTCCATCTTATTTCCTAAACAAGAGCCTTGCCATCTGAGGAGGAGCAAGAGAGTGAGTGAGGCAGAGTGGGGGAAGACAGGACTGGGGAAGCCCTCAGTTTCATCAGACATAACTGAGGCCTGGGAGGAAGGGTGAGGGACTATGCTGAAGGTCATACAGCTTTTTCTTTATTCAATCCTCACCAGAGGATATTTTTCCATTTATCTTCAGATAGAGTGGGAGGGAGAGAAAGGGCCAAAGAGAAACATGAATGTGAGACACATCAACTGGCTGCCTCCCACACGACCCCTACCACGGCCAGGGACGAACCGCAACCGAGGTACATGCCCTTGGCTGGAATCGAACCCATGACTCATTGGTTAGCGGGCTGGTGCTCTAACCGCTGAACCACACTGGCCAGGGCCAGCTACTTAATATCAGAGCTGGGTCTGGAACCAGTGTGGCTTCTCTCCACTCTCCTTCCCAACCTCACAACATTTTTATAAAACGAGTATAAATATATCACACTTTTTAGTTATACAGTTATATGGTAGATTTTCTCAACTGTCAAGTATAGAGATAGAATCTAGAAACAGCCCAGTAACATGAATTTAACCTACGTAAAACTAATATGTTAACTATGAGAAAGTTAACATATAAATAATAATCTGTCTCCTAGAGGATTTTGAAGATCCATAGATACTTTAAAAGTTGTCTGATTTCATTAAAATAAGGACCTCTTTTTCTTGTCCATAAATTTCCGGAAAAGGGTAAGACAGTAATTTTTCCTCCTCCACGCATTCATTCCTTCAGTAGGGGTGCTTTCAAGCCTGTAACACATTATATGTATAGGAATTTCTTAGGAAAAAAGTAGTCAAAGAGCCCTGGCCACGTGGCTGGGTTGGATCATCATCCCATGCACCATTAGGCTCAATTCTAGGTCAGGGCACATACTTAGGTTGCAGGTTCAATCCGCTTGGGGTGCTTACAGGAGGCAGCCAATTGATGTTTCTCTCTTGCATCGATGTTTCTCTCTCTCCCTTCCTCGCTCTCTGAAAACCAATAATTCTTAGGTGAGGATGCAAAAAAATAAAAAGGTCAAATAGAAAAAAATCTTCTAAAAATACAAGTTAACAGTAATCAACATGAAGCAGGTGATATTAGCATCCAAAACCAAAAAAGAAAGTATAGCTACTCAATATGGTAACATATTAAGTTAACTGTTGGTTTCTCAAAACAGAAGGTGCTGACCTATAAATAGAGAGGGTTTTGTTTTTGTTTTTTAACTCCCCACAGTGTCTAGAACAAGGCAGTTCCTGGAGAACTATCTTCTCAATCAACAGAATATAATACTAGAACACTTACACACTAGCTGCCATTGACTTTGCTTGAAAAGATGTTGGGGAGAAGAACTTGATATGAGACATTAAGAGAAGAGCAGAAGAAAGCCATGGATGGTCAAACACAAAGCCACAGGGCCAGGCCTTGTAACAGCGGCTGGATAGCTACACACCCCAAGGTGCCTCTAACGCTTACCCAGAGGAAGTGGCTGTTCGCTGGCCATTCTAGTCACACTCAGATACAGAGAAAGCAATAGCACCCTGGCCGGTTTGGCTCAGCGGTCAGAGCGTCGGCTTGTGGTCCAGAGAGACCCGGGTTCAGTTCCCGCTAAGGGCATGTACCTCGGTTGCAGTTTGGCCCTGGCCCTGGTTGGGTCGTGCAGGAAGCAGCCACTGGATGTGTCCCTTTCACATCGATGTTTCTCTCTCTCTCTCTCTCCCTCTCCCTCCCACTCTATCTGAACAAAAAATGGAAAAATGTCCTCGGGTGAGGATAAAAAAAAAAAAGAAAGCAATAGCTTCATTAGAATCCCAAAACACACAGATCTAACACCTATCAGTCTGTGTATCTTACCACTAACCCAGCACCCTCAAGAGCTGAGTGCAGCCAGTTCCTTTTGTGGGTGGAAAGAAAAAGCTGTGTCCCTCCATGAGCTCTTTTACTAACAACTATTTAAAGCAGTGCTATACCCATAGTTTTCTTGCAAAGTATAGAACTATGCATGTAAATCATGAAATCATTGAGTGGATGCAAGGCACTGCAGGAGGTGCCCAGCAACACTGATATGGTTTGTGTGTCCCGGAGCTTATCTTCCATTCGGGAATGTTGACAGGTGCATGCAAGATCATCAACAACATAAAGGAGCACATGATAAACGGCCAAGATGTATAAATGGTCTCTGTAGTGCTAAAAAAAAAAATGGATTCTATAAACC